GGGGGGGGGGGGGGGGGGTTGTTCAATAGAAACCTGAAGCAATCTTTATGAAATTCATTTATTGAAAAATGAAACATTAAGTCATCTTTTTCTGATATATTAAAATACATTTCAATATCTTTTCAATTCTGAGAAATGAGAAATTTCGAGAATATTTCCTAATGGTAATCGTTTTGAACATTCGGCAACTCATATTACTGTTAATGCTTCATTTTGTTATGAAACTAGCGGTACTTTAAATAAGACTTAAATTGTCCCTATTCGTTTGAAGATATATGCTGTAAAACCTCTGAAATGTTCCCTATCAAAACGTTATCAGGCTTAATACTTACATAACGCAGACTAAATGTTTAAGAAATACCATGTGGACACGACGATTGCATGTACTATTAAATAAATGTAATGACATGATATACGTTACTGTTGTATATTTTCTTTGAACCGCAGTACTAAAGCTTGACATCAACGTGCTAATTACACCTCGTCTTACGACTGTCCAAGGTACCATACTTTCATGTTATTGTCAATATATAATGCAATATATAAAAATATATGTATTGTGTTTATAGCCCGATAACAGAGTTCTTCATAACAAACAGTGTTTGTAGACAATAGTAGCAAGGATTTATACCTGTAAATATGATCGATTTTTACACTGAATCAAATATTCAAATGTGTGATCACATTTAAAAAAAAAAAATCAAATTACATTATATATGTGGTGAATCTTTAAGTTTGAACTCGCCATGCCGACAAAATGACGTTTACAGAAAATGTGTACACACGGAGGCATAGCAAATTGTAATGTAAACCTACTACAAACATTATTCTTGTTTAGTAGAGCAGAACTCATTGTAACTTCCTGGTTTATACATGTACTTGGGTACGGGGGAAAGACTAGTTATACCACACTGTTTATGTATGATATACCTTATACTTAGACAGATTATGTACATGGGTACGGGGAAAAGACTAGGTTATACCACCATGTTTATACATGTACTTGGGTACGGGGGAGAGACTAGGTTATACCACACTGTTTATACATGTGCTTGGGTACGGGGGAGAGACTAGGTTATACCACACTGTTTATATATGTACTTGGGTACTTGGGAAAGACTAGGTTATACCACCATGTTTATATATCTACTTGGGTAAGGGGGAAGACTAGGTTATACCACACTGTTTATATATGATATTCCTTATACCTAGACAGATTACGTGTTTCATATCAATTTCATTGGAATGTCTACATTTAAGATAAAATTGAATACATGCTGCCATATTTACGATGCATAGCCGAATAGTACAACACATAAACTCATATAAATAGTATGTTCATATTATCGGAAACATTGACACTACATCATATCGTACAGGAAAAAAATAAAACGCATGTTTAATTTGCATGCTTTAAACTCTCCTGTTGAGTTAAATTGTGGCGGGTTGGCGGTTAGCACATCGATATTTTCATGGCGATGTTAACGTGCAGACGATTTGGAAGCTGGTTGCATAGACCGTAATGAGAGCACTTGGCATGTGTCCACAAACAGTTTTTAGACTGAATCAAACTGCTTTCAGGTGAGGTTCATGTCCAATAGGAATGTCCACTGCATTACAGGAAAATAACATGAACTGTATTACATGTAGTGGTTCGTGTTTTATCTGCTATAATGCTGTTTCCATTTATATTGCCTATAAACCATCTCAAAGAAGTTTAATATATATGTTTTCATTTTTACTACTTTCTGTTTTTTTTCTAAAATAAATATAACAGCTCTTCATTTTAGTATGTAAAAGTATTAATATTCCTCCCAAATTCACTGTTTTTGTAGAACAGCCCACAGCATGTGCCTTCATGTGAAGGAATTTGTCAAATATAATTCGTCGATTAAACAACCGTAAAACGAGAGAGGGTTTGGTATCATGTTTATCTTATTCGAGTAAGTTCAAATTGTACAAAGAAATGAGGTTTACCGACTGTCTTTAACAATTTGAAAGTTTACTTACGAGCATTAGATAAACATGATATTCAACAATCACGAGTTTGGAGACGGACAACGTTCGGATATTATATCTAGAAAACGATATATACACAAAGAAAAAGTTAAGCACTCCCACGTTTTTTGGAAATGACAAATGATACGATTAGTGTCATGAGATAACGGAACAACTAATCGCAAAATACAAATGCAGCCTGTTAGGCCATTACATTAGCTTTAAGGAAAACACAACAAATATCAACAGAAATGATAATTTAATGAATAGATTGTCAAAAAATCACAAGCCCAGTTATTACACTAAAACATTTCCATTTTAAGTATTGACCTTCTTAGGTCATAATGCCCGATAAGATTGTAATTTCACTCAGAAAACGTCAATTTTAAGTCACTTAACGACATCCATAGTTCAAAGTTTAATATCGAGTGAAACCACTACGTGCTTGGATTCCGGCCTCAACCCTGCGTCTCATCCCTCCAGTCAGTCGTCGGATTTCCTGTCGTGGTAGCTGTCGCCGTTCCCGATGCAATGCTGCTTCCAACTGACGTAAGTTTTGTACAGGAAGTTCGACTGCCTGTACACGACGACCTAACATGTCCCAAACATGCTCTATCGGATTCAAATCAGGGCTCATGGCTGGCCATGGAAGAGAAGTCACTGCTTCGACTTGAAGGTAGGCGGTTACCGCCATTGAACGATGCGGCCTGGCGTTGTCATCCATAAACATAGGTCTTGCAGCAAATGGATGGTTATCAAAATGGGGGACAACAACTTGCTGAAGAACTTCTCTGATGTATTGATCACCATTCAGGTTTCCTCGTATGGTCACCAAGTCCAACTTGCAATCATGAGAGATGCACCCCCATACCATTACAGAGCCTCCACCGTAAGGGACAGTTAGTTTGATGTTCCTGTGGGTATATGCTGTATTTTTCTGTCTCCAAACTCTCTTTCGTACATCTGTTACTTGCAGCAGAAACCGGCTCTCGTCCGACCAATGGATCTTGCTCCAGGTCCTCAAGTTCCAACCACGTTGCGCTAAACACCATGCCAAACGCAATCTTTGATGTCGATCAGTTAACATGGACGTCTAATTACCCTCCTTGACTTCAGTCCTGTTGATTTCAACCGGTTCCTCACTGTTCTGGTTGATAGACGTCTATAAGGTTACCATTGTCTTTTTAGAACAGGACTAGTTGCAAATGGCATTCGTCTAACTAGGCGTTCCAGTGCCCTGTCTTCACGCTGCGATGTTACTGGTGGTCTACCGGATCTTGGCAAGTCTTTGACGGTCTTGGTTTGGATGTGTTTTCTCACAAGCCGGCTAACTACATTATAATGATAGCCCGTCTGACGTCCAATAGCTTTACAGGACATCCCTGTTGACCGCATGCCGATAATTTGCCATCTTTGGGCCTCCGATATTCTTCTTCGTACCATGTTCACAGAGAATGAATATTTTGTTCAAAACACCGCACTTAAATACCCAAATTTGAAGCGTGGGCATACTTAATTTTGGAAATTGCATTCGAGGCATGGTTCACGTGCATAATAACTCAATATCTTAATTGTTTTAATCATATTTTATTGTAATTTATATACAATGGGAGTTGGGCACAAGTGTTACAACTTATGTAAAGCCCTTTCCCTACAATATATTAAGACAAATTATCATGATGGCATATACCATATATATTTACATTGGCTTTAATTGAGAGAGAGAGAGAGAGAGAGAGAGAGAGAGAGAGAGAGAGAGAGAGAGAGAGAGAGAGCTAAGATTCGGATTAGTTGGTAAACATGAAAGGAGTGCAGGGAATTATACTCAAAATCTATTAGTATCTAGAATAAATTGCTGCGTCTGTTTGGCTATTAGGATGTTTTCCGGAAAGTAGTAGCTGCAAGTTAAGTGGAATGAAATCATTTAATTCGGGGTAGAGTTTAATTCTCTGATTCGCATAATTATTGCAAGTAAAAAAGAAGTGATATGTATCTTCGATAGGATGTCCACATTGACAGTGCTGAAAATCTATTAAATTAGCATGAAACAAGTGATTGTTTAAGGTACTAGAGTTATTTCTCAATCTGGTGTGTAAAATATTACTTTTTCGATCACCAGAGATAATATACAGGGACTTCTGATGTATTAAGCCTGCGAAGAGTATCTTTAAAAGCTGTATATGAAACGCTGTGTCTTATATTAAGGTTTAACTGGTTCCAGAGTCGGATTGTAGAGGGGGAAAAGACAAATTTGTTAATTGAAGTCGTGAATAGGTATACAGTAATTTTCAGCATTACGGAGGTTATAGTGTGTTTTTTCTGAAATTGTAGGGGAAGTAGAGAGGTAAGGTAGTTAGGTGTAAGATTCTTATGGATTTTGTAAAACAGTTGTAATTTCCGCCGAGTTCTACGTTCAGATAACGTTTCTATCGCAGTTTCAAAATACAATGATTCTCTACTAGAGTAAGATGGTAACCCGGTGATAATCCTTACAGCCTCAAGCTGAAGTTTTTCTAATTTGTCTGCGTCACCGAGAGTGCACCCATCCCATACCTCACAACAGTATTCTAATAGAGGAAGAATGTACGATCTATACATTTTAATTAAAGTTCTTCAACTCAAAATAAATTTCAATTTACGTAAAACGCTTAACTGTTTCGATACCTTTATACAAATATTTTCAATATGGGTACTCCACTTACAATTTTCATCCAAAATTACTCAAAGTTGCCTATGATTGTCAACAAATTCAACACTAACGTTATTAAATTTTAAATCGATAAAATACTCAAGTTCAAAGTTAGAGATCAATAAAGCTTTCGTCATTGCAGGGTTGAATTTAACCAGCCAAATTTCAGCCCAATTTTGATTTTTTTCCAAATCATTATTTATCTTCGTTTCGATGCATCAGAACATAATACAGACGTATCGTCAGCAAATAATTTAGACAAGCTTTCAAGATTATCAGATATATCATTAATATATAAAATAAAAAGTAAAGGGCCTACTACTAAGCCTTGAGGTACTCCAGCATTAGTAGTTTTAATAGAAGACTTATCATTACCAATAAAAACTTGCTGTCGTCTATTACTTATATAATTACTTAACCAGGCTAATAACTTTCCCGATATACCATAACTAGCTAGTTTCACTTTCAGTCCCTTGTGCCACACACGATCGAATGCTTAAGATAAATCACAAAAAACTAAACAGGTAGGATATCTTTTTTCTAAATTTTCGCATAAAGTGGGATACATTTCTATCATTTGATGAACAGTAGAGTGACCAGGTTGAAATCCAGATTGGAATTTATATATTTATGAATTATCTAACAAATAGTTGTTAAAATATTTTACAATCAATCGTTCAAAAACTTTACCAACAGTGCTAAGTAATGATATTGGTCTATAATTAGCAGATTCATGTGTATCCCCCTTTTTAAATAAAGGCATCACTACAGCTTGTTTCCACTGGTTTGGAAAGATACCAGAATCCAAAGAAGATCTAAATATAAAGGATAGAGGGAGAGCTACTGAACTTGCGGTATTTTTCAACATATTGTAGGTAATGGTGTCGCTACCGACAGCTTTATTAATATTTAAAGATTTTAGAATGTCTATTATGTCATTCATGTGGAACGGTATGTCAGATAAAGTGGAGTCTGTCCGAAGTTCTACTGTCGGTACGTCAATGTTAGTATCATCGATTGTCGAGATGGAAACAAAGTAATCATTTAGAATATTAGCTTTGATATCGTTTGCCATTTCTAATTTTCCGGTTTTGTTTCTAAGGGGAGGTATACTATTGGAATTATCTGAATTAATCTGCGGACAATTTTCCAAAAAATTCTAGGGTTCGAATCAGAGTATTGATCTAAAATGCCATTAATGTCCGCGTAAAACAAATCTTTTGTCCTTATTATTCACACGATTCCGTTGTTTCCGAAAATTATTTGGAGAACGATTAGATTTAAATAAGTGCAATAGTCTGTCTCTTTTCCTGATTTCCCATCGTAAGTTAGAATTAAACCATGGTTTGTCATTAGGTCGAATCTTCACTAATTTTGTTGGTATGCACTCCCTAGCTAGGTTAAAAAAGGCCGTTTTAAATATTTCACACTTATCATCCAGGGAGGGCACCTGCGAAAATAAGTCTGTCCAATCTGTCTCATCTAATTTGTGTTTAAATAATTCGTAATTTGCTTTTATATGTCCTTTCAATATTTGTCCCAACAGTCAATTCCACGGTCGTCGCTTGGTGGTCTGAAATGTCCTTGTCTATGTCTATTACGTCAGCGAAAGTAAAAACACATGTGTCGAAGAGGAGAATAGGGTCAAGCAGGGTAGAGCACGTGCGTCCAATGCGAGTCGGTTTGTTAATAACGTTTGACAAGTGAAAGGAATTTATAATATCGTAAATTACATGAGTGTTTTCTACAACTAAAAGATTCACTTTTATATCTCCAACTATCACAACATACGGAGTTTCGTGTAAGGCAGTTTCCAGAGAGAAATGAAAATGATTCGAGAAGGATAATGTGCTATTAGGAGGTCTATAGAGTGTACACAGGAGGTATTTCTTATTTGGAAACTGGATCTCTGAGACTGGATGTGTAAACAGCTATCCCCCCACCCGGAGACCCACGGTCTTTGCCGTACAATCCATAGCCACCTAGGAGTACATCGTCGTCTGCTATAGATGTTCTAAATACGATAACTTATTTCTTAGACTGCGAATGTTCAAATGAAATATAGAGATATCGTTACTATGGTTTGTAGGGCCTGAGTTTGTCATTACAAGATAGAAGGAGGAGATGTAGTAAGAGAAGGAAACTTGAGTTGTTGATAACACTAGATAGGGTGAGAT